GTGGAGCGCTCGGGTGGTTGTGGAGTCTTGGAATTGGAGAGGGCTCAGTGCATATGCAAACAGGGAGCGAGGGCTTTATTTCTGGAACTAGAAGAACACAGCAGTTACTTTTGGAGAGATAAACTGTGTTTAGGGGCCTGGTGCCAAATTGGGCGGATGTCATGTTAGAGATAGCTAAGCTCCAGGCTGGCAGAATCTGCCAGCACCACCTGAAAGTGGACAGGTACCATATGGTGGCCCCTCTCTGGACGCACATGAAGGACAGTGGTGAAAGGTAGTATTCCCATTGGATGGAACTTTGGGCAACGAGCCTTGGCCTGACAGTTTTAGAAGGAGAAATTCTAAGTGATTATGTACTGATTCATGGACTGTGGCCAGTGGTGTAGATAGATGGTCAAGGAATTGAAAGGAACGCATGTTAAAAAGAGTGACAAAGAAATTTGAAGAACATGCCTGTGGAAAGAGCACTCTGCACGGGAAGAAGGCATGAAAATATTTGACTTCTACATGAATGCTCACCAACTGGTGACCTCGGGAAAGGAAGGTTTAATAAACAAGTGGTAAGCAAGTGGCCAGTTCTGTGACCACCAGCGAGCCTCTTTCTTCAGCCACTTGTCTTTGGCCAGTGGGCTCCTGAACAAGAGGGCCCTGAAGGAGGGGATGGAAGGTATGCAGCACAAACTTGCACTCTCTGAGGCAAAGCTGACCATAGCCATCACGGAGTGGCTGGTTTCTAGAAGCCCACACTACCCCGGTACCCCTGTATGAAGCCATTCTCTAGGGTGATACTGCAGCAAGAATATTCCACTGAACCCCTTCCACCGTAGAAGGGGGCAGTGTTTTGTTTTTATTGGAATAAATCCTTGGGGTATAGATTTGCCATCCCTGCATGCTTTGGAAATGTTTGTGCCTAACTTACTTACAAAAACTTACAAAGGCTTCATCTGCCCATCCTGGAATTGTACCCCACGTTGATTATGACCAAGAAATTTCCTTCACGGCCAAAGAACTGGATCAGTGGGTTCTTGCTTAGAGAATTGTCCGATCTCACCATGTTTTGCACCACCCTAAAGCTACTGGCTTGGCAAATTGTAGAAGGGTGGTTAAAGTGTCCAATAGGTGACTAAATGGTGTGCATGACCTGAATCAGGTTCAGTATAGGATACGGTTTCTTCCATAGTCAGGACTTACAGGTCTGAGAATCCAGGAGCAGAGATAAGGGTGGCGCTACCCATAATTATCCCTGGAATCAGGCTGTATTGGATCTTCATCACTGTGACAAAATACCCAAGAGAACCAACTTAGGAGGAAGAGAAGTTTACCTTGACTGATGGTCTCAGAGGCTTTTTCGTGATTTCTTAGTCCCATCACCTTTGAGCCTATGGTGACATTTATATCATGGAGGGATCACATGGCCAGGAAGCTGCTTTCCTCATGGTGGCCAGGCAGAAATATAGAGAGAAAGAGAAGGAGCTGGGATCTCAGTACCCGCTGTACGAGCAGCGTCCTAACTTCCTTCCAGAACGCTCCAGCTCCTAAAAGCTCTACCTCCTCTCACAAGCAACACCCAACACTTTAACTTTTGGGGGACACTTAAAATATAAACTCTAGCGCCCACTAGCTAAATATTTACTTCCTGTCCCCATCACTGCATGCTCTCTTGGCCTCGAGGCCTTAGTTCCAGAGGGAAGAATGTTTTCCCCAAGACAAAACAATGATTCCATTCAACTAGGCGTTAAGGCTGCCAACCAGCCACATGGGGTTTCTCATGCTTTTGAATCAACAAGCAAAGAAGGACCCACTGTGCTGGCTTGGTGACTGGTACAGACTACCAAGGGCTTTTGGGCTGCTGTCCCACAGAGAATATGCGGAAGAGTATGACCGGAATCCAGGGGACCACTCTGGCATCTCTTAGCATTACATGCCCAGGGAAAGTGTAATAACCCAATTCAAGCAGAACTACAAATGGCCCAGATCCTTCAGAAACCAAGTTGTAGCCGTTCCACCAGGCAATCGGCTTTGACCCACTGATATGCTTTGCTGTATACAAAGTGAATACAGCATGGAGAGAGAAAACCAGTTCTAAATTCCAGCTACAGAAATGAAGACTGAAATTGTCATCAAGACACCTCCTTATTTTCTAAACAAATATCTATTATTTATTCATTAAGCATATATCTTTTGCCTTCTCTCTTAATATATTATCATGTAATATGAGATATACAAAATTTATATCAGTATTTAAGTATTTTAATATTATACTATTAAATTTGTGAAATAGCAGACATAAATTTCACTCAGGGAATTTACCTGCTTTCTGGGAAGAATGAGGGTGTTTGTTGTTGTCCACAGGATAATTGTGTCACATAAGGATGAACTATGACTTTACTATTGCCTTTGTCTGGAAATTAAGTATAGTTCAAGGAATTGTGTGGATGCCAAGCTGAGAGAGTGCGGACTTGTAATAATTATAGGAGTTTACTTAGCGGTTTTGAGGGATTCCTAGATAGCCGGTGTGGTGGATTGACAGCTGGTGGCCAACTTGTAATAACCAGCTGAACTGAGTCAGTGTGGTGCTGGGGACAGCTGGCCCACCTGAGGATTTTTGCCAACATGAAAACCAGAACTGAAGAGGAGAGTGTAGTGTGATTGGTTCTCCTGGGTGTTGTTGGTTCTGGAGGAGTTTGTTGAACTTCTATGGATCTCAGCTGTTCTTGCTGTTGGAGGAGCTTGGAACCTCATTGCTTGGGGATAGCTGTGGCACTTTTCAGGGGAGCTCTGGTCCTTACTTTGAGCACTGGTTCCTGGCTCTAGTACAGATCCCTCAGCCTGCTGGCACAGGTCCTTCATCCCACTGGCAAAGACTTTCTGGCTCCCACCAGTGACCTTTGGACCTTCCCAGCACAGATCCTTGATACAGACTCATATGAGACATTATCATGGGCTCCAGGTCATCAGCTAGACCCGTGCATGGTATCCAGGTCTTCAGCTGGATTCTTTGAAGTCCTTAGTGTGTAAACAGACCTACCACACTCTTCTGCACTTGACTCTTTGGGTAACTATTATAAAATAGTACCATAAATCATGTGTACCATATTAAATTGTTTTCCTTGCAAACTCTGACTACAACAGCCAGCAAGTACAACTCTGGGTGTGTCTGTGAGAATGGTTCCAGAAGAGACTGGCACTTGAATCAATAGGCTGCATAAGGAATATCCAAAGTAAGCGGGTACTATCCAATTTGTTGAAAGACCAGATAGCACAAAGAGACAGAAGAAATGCAAATTGACTCTCTCCAGGAGCTGGGCCACCTTTGTTCTAAAGTGCTCCAGTAGCAGAAATCCAGGTTCTCCAAAGGACTTCAAGACCTTCACAAGCAGCACTAAGGCATTAGGCTTTCTTCCTTGGACAAAGAGTTATGTCTTCATCTTAGCAAACCAAAGGCTGTCTGACCAGAGCTGCTGGGCTTACAGAGACCCTCTTGTATAGCTTTTCAGTCTTCATAATTATGGGAACCCATTTCCCCATGAACTCCCTTCTTATCTCCAGCTTATCATCTTATCTGTTAGCTACTCCTCCATCCTGTTAGTTCTCTATCCAAATAATGTTGATTAATATACCTTATTTATTATATATCAACCTCCATTTGCATTTAAAATTTTTATGGTGTTGCCATAATTTTTATGGTGATGCCAATACTATGCTACCTCAGTGGAAGATTTATAGTAAATTTCTTTATTAAGCAAGATTACTCTAATGCCTCTGTTACAATTGTTTATTGAAGAAATTCCCAGTATTCTTGCTTGTGTATTCTTATATGTAAGCTTTATAATCACCTTGTCCAATGCTACTCCACATATTTAGTAATCTATAGAGTATATTAATTTGAATATAAACTTTACTTAGTGGTGACATCTTCACACTGCTGTTCTTTCCTATTTAACAACCTAATATGCATTTATATTTGTTCGAGTCAATCTTGGTGTCTGATAAGAGGCGATCAAATTTTAAATATTTTTATTCATAGAGGTGCTACAATTTTTAAAGATATTTCCTTGTACTTAATTTTCTGTTTTATGCTGCAGAGTGTTATTTCCTGTGATAAATTCTAATTGGTTATTTTTGGCATATCCAAAGGCCAATATGAATTCCATCTTCTAACTTGTAAAAATTGGAATACCGAGATATAATAAACATTTGCGTTTTTGTGCCTAGGAGTTTATCCACTCTCCTAACTTATCTTTAACTTCCTGTTTATGTCAACTGTGAGTGAAGCCCCTTCACTTTTCCCATTCCTTTGCATTTCGTTTTCTGGGCATAATGTACTAGCTGCAATTACCAGGAAAGTGCACAAAATTCCTGTTTCACTGCTTGTATCAAAGTGAAAACTTTCAGCGTTTTTTCATGACACAGTTTTGAAATGATGTGTTGCTAGACACTGATCCCAGGACCTCAGGTATGCTGAGTGAGCATTGTACCCCCGAGCCTCCCAGTCCTTCCCAAAGGCTAGCTGCTGATGCTACATTTGTGTCTATAGAGACGATCCTTGGAAATGGAATGCACTGTTTCTTTAATGTAAGACTGACATTGCCACTATGGGATAAAACTAAGTTGGTTGCATGGATGATACTATTATTGGTGGATCTAAATTTCTAATATTTTAACGAATATTTTATTTACATACATAAGAGAAATTGGTCATTTATCATCTTTCTCAATTTAACCCTGAAAGGTTTGATATCAATAAAAACAAAGATACAAAATTTCAAAACAAAATAGTAAGAGAGTATCAATGGTTGATACGTTGTGTATTATTATCTTCAAAGTACGTGCTCAGATTACAGGATACAGAAATTGAGAAATTGATCAAGCAAATAAAATATTTGTCCTGCTTTGTGTTCATTGAGTTTCATGGATCTGTGGCTTGGCATTTGTTACTTCAAACACACACACACACTCTCTCTCTCTCTCTTTCTTTCATTATTATTTTTTTTTTGTAGCTCAGTTCTTGAACTCACTATGCAGCCCAGGCTAGCCTTGAACTCTCAGCAATCCTCCTGCCTGAGCCTCTCCAGTGCCGAATTACAGGTGTGCACCACTTCAATAATATTTTCTTTCTTTACCTGTTTCTTCTGTCTTTGTTTTGTAATCGTCAAATAGCACTTGGATATGTTGCTTTAGCTTTCATGGTCTTCCTTCTCTTTGCATTTTGGGCTGAGCACTTTCTCCAGCCTCCCCCCAGGTTCACTCCTGCTCCACGTCCAGGCTCTCCATGAGCTTCCAGACATGCTCCCTCTCTGCACAGTGCTTCCCCCTCTTTATCTCCAGCACATCATGGTGATTCTTAGAGTTTCCATCGCTTTGATTACATGATCTCTCTGTCCATGCATGTTGCCCTCTTTTCCTGTTAGAATCGTAGCATGTTCATCATTGTTGCTTTAAATTCCTGGTCCCATGATTCCAGCATCCCCGCCACATTGAGTCTGTGTCTCTTTAGGCTACATTTTCCTGCAGTGGGCCTGCATACTTTCTTGTGTTGTTATTGCTGTTGCTGTTGAAAGCCACACTGTAGCTTCAGTGTGCTGTGTGTGGGCTTGGTGGGTTCCTGTGCCAAGATTGGGGGGTAGAACCGTTAAGAGGGGAGACATAAAGGGAGGAAGCCAGGCCCGTGCAGGCTGTGCTTTTGGGAGGATATTTGCCCTCTAGCCCTTTTCTGTCTCTCTTTCCTTCCCGGTTACTCTGAGATGAAGAAACTCCCTGCCGGGCACATCACTGTGAAGTCCTCTGCGGACACACACCCAAAGCACCAGGGCCAAGCATCCAGGCACGGAAACTTCCAAAGTGGTAAGCCAAAATAAACCTTCCCTCTTGTTAAGTGGATTGTCACAGTTACTTTGTCCCAGTGACAGCAAGTTGATTAATACTCCCTGACATGAGGTTTTCAGTAGAAGGAACTGAAATAAATCTGGCCCTCGTGTGTGGCTTTATGTTTATCTAGCCAGGAGTCTATTACATGTTGTGACTGTAGGTATCAAAATTTTTTTTTGTTTATTCCCCAGTTTGAGGGGCAGGGAAGGGTTATGAGACCTATTTTTAAATAAAGTCTCAGTTCTTTCGGTAGACAACCTTATTATAAAACAGGAGCCCAGCTGGCATGGGGGAAAGGGGTGTATGTGTGTAGGTATGTGCGTTCTCTCGTCCCAGGACGAGGTCGCAGTACAGAACCTGTACCTTTGGGCTGTAACCTTCATATCTGCTTCTTAGTTACTTCCCTCCTTAGCTAAGACAGGATGACAAGATGGCCTTACTGCTGAGTCTACCCTTTCTCCAGCTCACCTAGTCTCCAGGAAAACCATGTTTCCTTAGGGTATGGGAAAACACTCCCCCTAGAGGGGAGGCCTTGGCCCTGAGTGTATTTCAGGCTGGCTACTCTTTCCCCTCAAGTTCTTTTACTCTGACCTTTACTGTGCAAGCCTAGCAGAGATAAAGTTCAAGAAAGTGTGAGCTTAACTTTCACTGTTGTTGCTGATGAACCGCTAACACTGCATCCGTGACAGTGCAGGTTTCCTAGGCTGGTGTTGGCTGCTGTTGGGGCTTTTAGTCTAAGGGGTTTTTTCCTGTGAAGACTTCCTATCTGTTACGGGTTGTGTCCAGATGCCACTCCAAAGTCTTGTTTCGTCATACTGGTTTTTTTGTTTTGTTTTGTTTTGTTTAGGAGGTGGCTGAATCTAGAGTGTATGATTGATTGGTGGTGCAATGCTTGGATGAAGCATGCTGGATTAAGGGTGGGTGATTTCTGGATCAAGCCACTGTCCTAATCCCAGTACACTGGATACAATATTAGGGACAAAAAAAGGCTTGTCTTGCCCCTGTGTGTTGCTTTGCTAGTTTCTGTTCACCTTGACTGTTCTCTGCCAAGGCACTTTACATTGGAGCCAGGCAATTATTGACTGAAACCTCTACAAACTACAAGCTATTAAACATTTTCTCAAAAACTAGAGCAAACAATCCAAAAATTCATTTGGAACCAAAAATGATGCAGAATAGCAAAAGCAACTCTGGACAACAAAGGCAAGGCAGGGGATATTACAGTCCCAGACTGGAAATTATACTATAAAATACTGTGATAAAAACAGCAAGGTACTGGTGGAAAAAACAGACCTGATGATTAATGGAACAGACTAGAAGATGCAAAAACAACTCCAAAAACACTCAGTCACTAAATCTTTTACAAAAGGGCCAAACACATTCACTGGAAGAAAGATGGTCTGTTCAATAAATGGTGCTGGAAAAACTGTCTTTCCACATGCCAAAGACTAAACCTAGACCCACATCTATCACCAGGCACTAAACTAAAATCAAAATGGATCAAAGATCTAAATATTCAAACTAAATCTGCTGGAAGATAGAATAGGTAGAACTCTTCCAGACACAGGTATAAGCAAAGACTTTATAAACAAAACCCTGATTGCACAGGAACTATCACAAAGAATCAACTCAGATCTCATTAAAAAGCTTTTGTGCAGAAAAATAAATCACCAACAGAGCAAAGAGACAACCCCACAGAGCGGAAAAAAAAATTTATGCCAGCTGTTCCTTAGACAAAGGACTTACATCTAGAACATAAAAGGAACTGAAAAAAATAAAAATTCAAAGACCCAATGCATAAATGGGCATCTGAGATAAACAGACACTTCTCATATGAAGATGTACAAATGGGAAATAAATATATGAAATATTCAACATCACTGGTCTTTTGAGAGATGCAAATTAAAACAACATTGAGATTCCATCTCACCCCAAAAGAATGGCTGTTACCAAGAAAAAAACTAAAAAGTTTTTTAAAAAGAAGACAACTAATAACAGGAGAAGCAGCCAGCCCAGTCCCTGCAGGCCACCACTGCCATCTGGACTCTCCTGTGGGTAGCCATTGCAAGCCAGGAGAAGTAGACATCCATGTCTTGGAGAAACCACAAGTGTCTGGAGAAGCCTGCCTCACACCTCACTGCCTCCTGGGGAACCTGAGTTAGGAGAAACCCAGGTGCCTGACCCATCCCAGTATGCTGTGCATGGGAAGCCAACATGGGAAGCACCTGGGACCCCCATAACCCACTCATCTGGAGGAACCCAGGAAAATGTCACGACAAATAAGTGAAAGGTGATCTCTGGCCTCCAGCCCCCACAGAACCAGTCCAGGAGACACAGACAGGGAAGAAAGTGGAAATCACACCTGAAATTTCTGGGATGATGGCAACTGAAGTAAAGAAACTACTTCACGGGGCTGTAAAAAAATCAGATCAGAAACAATATTTGAGATAAAAGAAGAAATGAAAAACGTAATAAAAGGGTTACTGGGCATATCTACAGAAGACAGATAAAAAAGAGGAGCATAGGAGACTTAGGGAATCCTTGAATGAACAATATATAGGAGAATTGGAATGTATGAAACAGACTCCAAGAGATATCCAGGAAATCAAGCTCCATTGAAAGCTGGCAGAACTGCTTGAAGGAAACTGATGACAGACTTTGACACTTTGATTCAGGATGGCAGTTAGCAAGCATGAAAGGAAAGATCTCTTAAAAATAACAGGGAACCAAGAAATAACAATCCAATAGCTGCAAGATGAAACAGGAGAGTAACTTAAGAATGATAGATGTCAGCAAAAAAGTAGAAGTCAACACAAATGATGTAGAGAGACTATAGAAGTAATAGCTGAGAACTTCCCGAGCATGGGAAAAGGACCTGACGTGCAGGTAAGTGAGGCATACAGAACTCCAACTAGCCACAACCAAAATAAATCTACACGCAGACATGTAATAACCGAGATCCCAGAAATTTGGCACAAGAACAGCATATTAAAGGTTGTTAGAGAAAAGAGACAGATCACCTATAAAGGAAAACCCATCAGAATCATGACAAACTTCTTTATGCTGGCAACTTTCCTCAGGTGGACCATTCACTCAGTACCACGCTGATGATTCCATTCGGCTGACGTTTAAGTTGACCACCAGATACAAATTCAGTGTATCGATTAAAACCATATTCTTAAGTCTGGCTGCCTAGAGATGATCCTAGTGATCAGCCAGTGACAGGGTAGAGCTTGTGCCTAACCATCTTGTTCCACTAGGCTGAGAGTTTTGTGTCTGGGGTGAGAAATATATTGCATACCAGGCAGTGGCCAGGTCTGCTTTGGCTTGTGTTCCCTTCACTGATGGACACTGATTTCTGAATTGGCACAATTCTTATTTGGGCTTTGAACATTATTGTCAGGGAGGAGCAGAGTCTTAGTCCATTTTGCTCTGGTATGACAGAATACCAACAAGTCATGGATAACAAACAGAAGTATATTTCTTGCAGTTTTCTTGGTTGGCAAGCTGCTGATCAAGGCATTGGCGTTTGCTGATGTTCCTGTGTCTGCTTCCAGAGGGGAGGACACTGTGCCCTAATCTGCAAGAGCAAAAGAGACTCCCTTCTCTTTCTTTCTTTCTCTTTCTTTCTTTCTTTCTTTCTTTCTTTCTTTCTTTCTTCCTTTCTTCCTTTCTTCCTTTCTTTCTTTCTTCCTTTCTTTCTTTCTTCCTTTCTTCCTTTCTTTCTTCTTTTCTTTCTTTCTTTCTGTCTGTCTGTCTGTCTGTCTGTCTTTCTGTCTGTCTTTCTGTCTTTCTGTCTTTCTGTCTTTCTTTCTTTCTGTCTGTCTTTCTGTCTTTCTGTCTGTCTTTCTGTCTGTCTTTCTGTCTTTCTGTCTTTCTGTCTGTCTTTCTGTCTTTCTGTCTTTCTGTCTGTCTTTCTGTCTGTCTTTCTGTCTGTCTTTCTGTCTTTCTTTCTCTCTTTCTTTCTGTCTTTCTTTCTCTCTTTCTCTCTTTCTGTCTCTCTTTCTGTCTTTCTTTCTGTCTCTCTATCTTTCTCTCTTTCTGTCTCTCTTTCTGTCTTTCTTTCTGTCTCTCTTTCTGTCTTTCTTTCTGTTTCTCTTTCTTTCTTTCTTTCTTTCTTTCTTTCTTTCTTTCTTTCTTTCTTTCTTTCTTTCTTTCTTTCTCTTTCTTTCTTCTTTTGTACCAAGGATTGAACTCAGGAGCTCACACTTGCCAGGCAGGCACTGTGCCACTGAGCTAAGTCCCTGGCCGGATCTCTCCCCTCTTTGTGGCTGTGTGGATCTGCACCTCACCCTCTCCCGTTAGGCCCCACCACCCCACACTGTGGCACTGGGCACTGAGTTCCCAACCTGTGAGTGGGGGGCATTCAGATGACAGTGGGAGAATGGCCACCGCCCTCTCCAGTCTGCTCTGCTACATTTCTTCATACCAATAAATATTCCTTGAAAACATAGCTGCATGGTATTCCGTAACAAATGATTTTTACATGTATTGTTTAGCTCCAATATGTAGTTTTTAGATAATGATCAGACACGCTTTAAAAAAAAAAAAAAACCTTTCTTTGTATTTGTCTCTTCTAAAATTCTGGATTATACTGCTGATTTGTTGTGGTCAATCTCAGAAACCTACAGATGCTAACGAAGTCCCCCCCCCCCCCGCCCAAGTAGGCTCAGTCTCCTCTCAGAGCCACAAGGGGAGGACACTGCCCTGCACTCTCCGGGAGCCTATGGGTTACACCTGTCTTCTGTTCTTCTCAGTGTTGCATTTGCCTGTATCCTGACTTCCTAAGTATATGCTAAAGCCCATGGTACTGAGTGATGTCTGTTTTTATTTTTTAAAATTTTGTGGTAGTGATTATTGAGCCCCGGGGTTTTGCACTGATACAGGTTGATTTGATTTGATTTGATTTGGAGACAGGATCTGTCTCACTCAGGTGCTAGGTTTCCCAGGCACATCTCAAATGTGCAATTCTCCTG